CCAAACAGGAAATTGATAAGGAAACACAAGCTTTAAATGACACAATAGACCAGATAGAGTTAATTAATATTTATAGGATATTCCATCCAAAAACTGCAGATTAAACTTTCTTCTCAAGTGCACATGGAACATTCTCCAGGATAGATCACATCTTGGGTCACAAATCAAGCCTCAGTAAATTTAAGAAAATTGAAATCGTATCAAGCATCTTCTCTGACCAAAACGCTATGAGATTAGAAATCAATTACAGGGAAAAAAACGTAAAAAACACAAACACATGGAGGCTAAACAATACATTACTAAATAACCAAGAGATCACTGAAGAAATCAAAGAGGAAATCAAAAAATACCTAGAGACAAATGACAATGAAAACATGATGATCCAAAACCTATGGGATACAGCAAAAGCAGTTCTAAGAGGGAAGTTTATAGCTATCCAAGCCTACCTCAAGAAACAAGAAAAATCTCAAATAAACAACCTAACCTTACACCTAAAGGAACTAGAGAAAGAAGAACAAACAAAACCCAAAGTTAGACCTAAAGGAACTAGAGAAAGAAGAACAAACAAAACCCGAAGTTACTAGAAGGAAAGAAATCATAAAGATCAGAGCAGAAATAAATGAAATAGAAACAAGGAAAACAATAACAAAGATCAATAAAACTAAAAGCTGGTTCTTTGAGAAGATAAACAAAATTGATAAACCATCAGCCAGACTCATCAAGAAAAAGAGGGAGAGGACCTAAATCAATAAAATTAGAAATGAAAAAGGAGAAGTTACAACAGAAACTGCAGAAATACAAAGCATCCTAAGAGACTGATACAAGCAACTCTATGCCATAAAATGGACAACCTGGAAGAAATGGACAAATTCTTAGAAAGGTATAACCTTCCAAGACTGAACCAGGAAGAAAGAGAAAATATGAACACACCAACCACAAGTAATGAAATTGAAACTGTGATTTAAAATCTTCCAACAAACAAAAGTCCAGGACCAGATGGCTTCACAGGCGAATTCTATCAAACATTTAGAGAACAGCTAACGCCCCTCCTCCTCAAACTCTTCCAAAAAATTGCAGAGGAAGGAACACTTCCAAACTCATTCTATGAGGCCACCATCACCTTGATACCAAAACCAGACAAAGATATTACAAAAAAAGAAAATTACAGACCAATTATCACAGATGAATATAGATGCAAAAATCCTCAACAAAATACTAGCAAACAGAGTCCAACAACACATCAAAAGGATCATACACCATGATCAAGTGGGATATATCCCAGGGACGCAAGGATTCTTCAATATACGCAAATCAATCAATGCGATACACCATATTAACAAACTGAAGAATAAAAACCATATGACCATCGCAATAGATGCAGAAAAAGCTTCCGACAAAATTCAACACCGCTTTATGATAAAAACTCTTCAGAAAGTGGGCATAGAGGGAACCTACCTCAACATAATAAAGGCCATATATGACAAACCCACAGCAAACATCATTCTCAATGGTGAAAAACTGAAAGCACTGCCTCTAAGATCAGGAACAAGATAAGGATGTCCACTCTCACCACTATTATTCAACACAGTTTTGGAAGTCCCCGCCACGGCAATCAGAGAAGAAAAAGAAATAAAAGGAATACAAATTGGAAAAGAAGTAAAACTGTCACTGTTTGCAGATGACATGATATTATACATAGAGAATCCTAAAGATGCCACCAGAAAACTACTAGAGCTCATCAATGAATTTGGTAAAGTAGCAGGATGCAAAATTAATGCACAGAAATCTCTGGCATTCCTATACACTAATGATGAAAAATCTGAAAGTGAGATTAAGAAAACACTCCCATTTACCATTGCAACAAACGGAATAAAAGACCTAGGAATAAACCTACCTAAGGAGACAAAAGACCTGTATGCAGAAAACTGTAAGACACTGATGAAAGAAATTAAAGATGATACCAACAGATGGAGAGATATACCATGTTCTTGGATTGGAAGAATCAACATTGTGAAAATGACTGTACTACCCAAAGCAATCTACAGATTCAATGCAATCCCTATCAAATTAGCAATGGCATTTTTTACAGAACTAGAACAAAAATCTTAAAATTTGTATGGAGACCCAAAAGACCCTGAATAGCCAAAGCAGTCTTGAGGGAAAAAAACGGAGCTGGAGGAATCAGACTCCCAGACTTCAGACATACTATAAAGCTACAGTAATCAAGACAATATGGTACTGGCACAGAAACAGAAATACAGATCAATGGAACAGGATAGAAAGCCCAGAGATAAACCCACACACCTATGGCCAACTAATCTATGACAAAGGAGGCAAGGATATACAATGGAGAAAAGACAGCCTCTTCAATAAGTGGTGCTGGGAAAACTGGACAGCTACATGTAAAAGAATGATATTAGAACACTCCCTAACACCATACACAAAAATAAACTCTAAACGGATTAGAGACCTAAATGTAAGACCAGACAGTATAAAACTCTTAGAGAAAAACATAGGAAGAACAGTCTTTGACATAAATCACAGCAAGATCTTTTTGGATCCACCTCCTTGAGTAATGGAAATAAAACAAAAATAAACAAATGGGACCTAATCACACTTAAAAGCTTTTGCAAAGCAAAGGAAGCCATAAACAAGACCAAAAGACAACCCTCAGAATGGGAGAAAAGATTTGCAAACAAATCAACGGACAAAGGATTAATCTCCAAAATATATAAACAGCTCATGCAGCTCAATAGTAATAAAACAAACAACCCAATCCAAAAATGGGCAGAAGACCTAATAGACATTTCTCCAGAGAAGACATACAGATGGCCAAGAAGCACATGAAAAGCTGCTCAACATTACTAATTATTAGAGAAATGCAAATCAAAACTACAACGAGGTATCAGCTCACAGTTAGAATGGGCATCATCAGAAAATCTACAAGCAACAAATGCTGGAGAGGGTGTGGAGAAAAGGGAACCCTCCTGCATTGTTGGTGAGAATGTAAATTGATACAGCCACTATGGAGAACAGTATGGAGGTTCCTTAAAAAACTAAAAATAGAATTACCATATGACCCAGCAATCCCACTACTGGGCATATACCCAGAGAAAACCATAATTCAAAAAGACACATGCACCCCAATGTTCACTGCAGCACTATTTACAATAGCCAGGACATGAAAGCAACCTAAATGCCCATTGACAGAGGAACGGATAAAGAAGATGAGGTACATATATACAATGGAATATTACTCAGCCATTAAAAGGAACGAAATTGGGTCATTAGTAGAGACGTGGATGAATCTAGAGACTGTCATACAGAGCGAAGTAAGTCAGGAAAAGAAAAACAAATATCGTATATTAATGCATATATGTGGAACCTAGAAAAATGGTACAGATGAACCGGTTTGCAGGGCAGAAATGTAGATGTAGAGATGTAGATATAGAGAACAGGTGTAGATGTAGAGAACAAACGTACGGACATCAAGCGGGGAAAGCGGCAGGGGGTTGGGGGTGGTGGTGGTGGGATGAACTGGGAGATTGGGATTGACATATATACACTAATACGTATAAAATGGATAACTAATAGGAACCTGCTGTATAAAAAAATTACTAGACATTGTGAAGACTAGTTTGTAAAGGGCAAGGGCAGAAGCAAAAAGATTATAGCAAGATTATAACAGTGATGGAGAGAATGAGATGAATTCAGGACATATTTTAGATGCAGAGCTCACAGGACTTGCTGATGAATTAGATACACGGTGGGAATCAGTGAGAAAGGGAAAGGGAGGAAGGATGTTTCCTAGGTTTTTAGCCTGAACAAGCAGAAGCCATCATATCCCAGGATGGGGAACACTACTGGGAGAGAAATGGATTGGTGGGGGGCAGCAGTGGTAATCCGAGACATCTATTTGAGCCTATAGGAGCTTTGTATGGCTATTAGGCATCCAAGTGGAGATGTCAAGTAGGCTGTTGGATAAATGAGTCTGGAGCGCTGTATATAAATTTAGGACTTGCTGACATTTACATAGTATTTAAGCCCTGGGACTGGATGACATCACTGGACAGAGAATGTGGAACGAGAAGGGGGCCAAGGACTAAGCCCTAGCAAGTTCTCACATTTAGAGGTCAGGCAGAAGACAGAGAAGGAAAAGCCATGGAGGATGAAGGGAAATTAGAAGAGTGTAATGTCCTAGAAGTGCAACTCAAGTAAAACAGGGTAACCTGAAAGGGGGGGAGGGTGATAGGACAGGATGAGAGTGGGGGCAGGGGAAGCCCATTTAGATAGACAGAGAGGTTAGGGAAGGCCTAGCGGAGGAGGTGACATTGGATCTAAGTGAAATTTTAATGAAATGAGTGAATCATTGTGAAAAGCCAGGGTAAAACATTCCAGGCAGTGGGAACAGCAAATGCAAAGGCCCTGTGGCAGGTTAAGCCCTTCTAATTATAGTAACATAGATCAGGTCCAGTGTGGCTGGGGCATGAAGAGTGTTAGGAGGGGCGGGGCCAGGTTATACAGGTCCCTGTAAGTCACGGTGAGGAGTTTGATACTCCGAGCGCTAGAAAAGCTGAGTAATGCAACTCGGTCTACCTATTTTAAAGATCGTTTGGTTTGCTTCGGGGAGAATGCATTGCAGCAGGACCAGAATGGAATCAGGGGATCAAGCTGTTGGGATAATCCAAGGTCTCCACTCCCACCCTGACCCCGACCTCATTCCCAGCACTCAGCACTCTCCAGCAGGGGCGAAACAGAGTTGGGGTCACAGAGCTTTGGGTGACTCAGAATCTCAGAGGTTGGCTGGGGCAACCAAGGGTGTCCATGGAGTTGGGGTGAAGGGTGGAGAAGCCCGCCACCGGAACCCGGGGAATCGGACGGTGCTCACCCTCCGCTGCCCTCTCGCATTCTCCACCTGGGACGCAGCCGGGCGCGGCTCCCCAGGCGCGGCAGCGGGAGGGTTAAACCATGCGGGAGGGGGAGAGGCGGAGACCTAGCGCTCCGAGCTGCCGCGCCGAGCCCCGCCGGGCCGAGCGCAGCCCGAGCCGAGCCGAGCCGAGCCGAGCCGAGCATCTCCCGCCGCCGCCGCCGCCGCCCCGCGCCCCGGGCGCCCGCCCCCACCCTCTACAGCACCCCGCTGCCCTCAGAACCCCCCGACCATGCCCAGTGCCCCCCACGCTCCCGCGACCCCCCAGCCCGGCGCAGCCCCGAGCTCTCGCAGCCGTCGCGCCGCCGCGCCAGGCATGCAGGTGAGCGAGAGGGACCCCCCACGCCCCCGCCCGAGGGAGCCCGGCCCTGCCCTCCCCGACTCCGCGCCTTTTGCCCCCCGCCCCTCCCGGCGCGGTCCCTCGCCCGGCTCGAGCCTCCAGCCCATAAGCGCGCCTTCCCCACCACGCTTTCCTTCGCTCCGCGGGTCCCGATTCCATCCTGCCCTCCTGGCGCAGCGGTCGCCGTCCCCGCCGCTGCCTTCCTCCCGCCTTGGGCTCAGCCCCCGGCTCCTTGCATCCTCCAGCCTCGGCTTCCCTTTCTGCTCTCAGCGCTCCCGCCCGAGGAGACCCCTCGCCTACCTCCTGGTCCTCGTCCCCCGCCCCGCTTATCGCTTTCCAGCCCTGTCCAGGGAGCGTGGGCCTGTGGGAGGGGTGGGCTCGCGGCCGCGCTGGGGATGGGGCCCGGTTCCCCCAGCCCGAGGCTTCCGCCCCACCCCCAGCTCGTCTCCTGCGCACAACAGGTCGGTGAGGAGCGAGGGGAGGGTGGGGTGGCGCGCCAGCCAGGGGACTTGGGGCTTCCTGGACGGGGTGACTAAGGGGTGCGGGGTCCGGGGACTGGAGATGACGTTGGTTGGGGAGGTGGGATGCACGGGCGGAGAGGCGAGTGGGTCCTGGAGTCAGCTGGCCACAGACGTCCCTGGGAGCCCTCTTCCCCTCCCCTGGCTCGCACGCCTTCCTCTGTCCCTGCAGCATCCTTCTTTTCCCGGTTCCGTCTCCCTTCTTCCCACCAGGCCCCCATCCCTGCCTCTCTCCGTAGCTCCGTATCCCTTTCCGTTGGAAGAAACAATTTCCATCTCCTCCATCTTTGCTGTTCCCGTTTTCCGTCCCCCGTCCCTTCCTTGTCTCATGTTGTCCTCAGTACCATGTTCTCTCCTTTCCCCCTTCCTTCCTCCCCGTCCCTGGTCCCCTCCCTCCCTCCTCTCCCTTCCCCTTCCACGATCTCCACTTCCCACCCTGCCTGGACCTTTCCTTCCTCCTCCTCCTGCCCTTCCTCCTTCCCCGCTCCTGTGACCGCCTCACCCTCTCAGCTTCCCTCGCTGACCTTTACTCTCATCCTCAGCATCCTCCAGCTGCCGATCTCCTCTGCGCCCCCCAGTGCATTCTTTCAGGACTAGCCCCCTTCCTCTGTTTCCTCTTCACCTTTCTCTTCCCTTCTCACGCCTCGCCAGCCTTCCCTGTCTCAGGCCATCATCCCTTCACATCTCTCCCCGCAGCCCACTTCCCCAATCCCTTCCCCAGACTCTCCCACCTACTCCCCTGTTATTCTCTGAGAGGGCTTCATGTCCAGATTTAGACCCAGAATCCAGAGGACACCAAGTGTCATATCCTCATTCACTGGGGAGCCTGCTGCCGCCGCCTGGATCCACCACCCTCAGCTCTGAGAACGTGTCCTCCTCTTTCAAAACCATCCATCCCGATTCTCCCAGGACTCTTTACCCAGCAGAGCTACATTTGAGGGGGTGGCCTCTCCCCAACTCCACCTCCCCTCAGAGGGCACCTATGCATTTGGATGATGGAACACTGAGCAAATATTATATTCTGTAGTTTTCCTCCCGCCCACCTCTCTCTTTCTCTCTTTCCTTCCATCCCTCCATCTCCTGTTCCCCTGCTCCTGAAGATGAGATTCCTGGGGCCATTCAATCATAAGAGAAAGGCCTCAGACAACAAGTGGGGTGGGCAGGCGGGGATGCTCCCCCTGTGCAACCACACACGTTCACACACTCACTCAGATTGACTTCCTCTTCCCTCCCCCACTCAGACTCCCTCCCTCCCTCGGTAGGTGCTCAAGGAATCACAAGGTTCTTGGCTCTAAATTAAGATCTAAGAAAAGCTAGGAGCTGTGGGCAGAGGAAGTGAGACGGAAGGAAGCCAGAGAAGTGAGAGTAGACCCTGGGGTGGGGAGGTAACAGGGACCTGGGAAGTTGTGTAGATAGGGGCTGGGGGCTAGACGGGACCATTCTGGGGGTTCCTCTCCCCGCTCCCCACCCCCCACAAGAGGATGCTAGGCAGCCATGGGTCCTGAGTGGCAGCAGCATAGCTAGCAGCCACAGCTGGGAGGGGAGATGGAAGTGAGCTGGTGGATGAATGAGCTGGGGAAGTGCTCAGGGCAGGGCTGGGATGTGACGACCCCTCTCTCCCCCAGTAAAGGCTGAAAATCTGGGTCATCTCTGAGGAAGATCTCGGACATGGAGTCCAGAATGTGGTAAGTCTGGTCCAGCAGGGGAAGCTTGGAAGCCACTTTCCCTGGGGTCTTGGCACTTTCCCTCCTAGGCCCACCCGGGGCCTTCCATCCTGAGGGCTAGACTCTAGGAAGATGGGAAATGAGACCAGTCTTCCCAAGGCCCACCTACTTTTTGCACAGAGTCTTGGAGGGAGGTGGCCTGTCCTCTGCACACATAAGCCCAAGATGGCCTTGGTTTCACCCGCTCTCTCTCCCTTCCTGCAGGCCTGCGCTGCTGCTGTCCCATCTCCTCCCTCTCTGGCCACTGCTGTTGCTGCCCCTCCCACCGCCTGCCCAAGGTTCCTCCTCCCCTCGGACCCCACCAGCCCCAGCCCGGCCCCCCTGTGCCCGGGGAGGGCCCTCAGCCCCACGCCATGTGTGCGTGTGGGAGCGGGCACCTCCACCAAGCCGCTCCCTGCGGGTCCCAAGATCACGTCGGCAAGTCCTGCCAGGCACCTCGCCCCCGGCCACCCCATCAGGCTTTGAAGAGGGGCCACCCTCATCCCAGTACCCCTGGGCTATTGTGTGGGGTCCTACAGTGTCTCGAGAGGATGGGGGGGACCCCAACTCTGCCAATCCTGGATTTCTGCCCCTGGACTATGGTTTCGCAGCCCCACATGGGCTGGCCACCCCACACCCCAACTCAGACTCCATGCGGGGTGATGGAGATGGGCTAAGCCTTGGAGAAGCACCTGCCACCCTGCGGCCAGTCCTGTTCGGGGGCCGCGGGGAAGGTGAGTGGGAGTTGGGGAGGTTGGTAGGGATTTGGGGGTGGGGAGGCTGGCTGAAGACTCTAAAGGAGCCTCAGAGGAGCTCAGGTCCACTGGAGAAGACAGATATGTAAACACTCGGTGATGAGTCAATGTAATAAATGCTCTAATGGAGGCGCGCACAGCATGTTTTTAGGCAGAGAGAGAAGGGAGACACTATTTCTGCCTGGGGATCAGGACACCCTCCAAGAATTGACATTTAAGCTGGACCTTGGAAACAGTGGGAGTATTCCAGGCAGAGGAAATGAACGAACCCTTCAGGGTGACATCTGAGCGCTGAGAGGGGGCCAGTGGTCTGGGGGTGGGGCCAGGGTGGAGATGGACGTTTCCAGCCCCTAGTTTCTGTGCAGAGAGAGAAGTTCACTCTGACCTTGGAACCTCCTCCTCATCCCATATATACAGAAGATTTGGGGAAGTGGAGAAAAAGGATTTGGGAGGAAAAGAGCTGAAAACTCTGGGGAAAGCCAATGATAAAAATAAAGCGGGGAGGCTCCAGAGAAGCAGAAAGAGTTGGGCAATGTGGCTTCAACAGCCCAACCTCCAGCCTCTCTCAGCTCCCCCCACCTCAGGCCTCCCTAAAAATTTCTCCCTACCCCAAGCAGGTGTGGACCCTCAGCTCTATGTCACAATTACCATCTCCGTCATCATTGTTCTCGTGGCCACTGGCATCATCTTCAAGTTCTGGTAAGCTGGGGTGGGGGGAGGAGATGCTGGCATTCCATCAATGTTTGGCTACATTTGGCTGGAAGGAGGGAAGGAGCCAGGGCGGCAGTTTTGCTGGCGGTGGGATAGGAAGTGGTGGATTAAGGCAAGACTTTGGGAAAAGGTAGGAAGGATTCGGGTGGGGGAAGCTCTGAGAAATGAGTGCAGATTCCTTCTGGGGAAATACAAGGGTGATGTGAGAGGGGGGGGAGTCATTTGTGTGCACAGGGGCTTTGGTGGCCACCCCTTGTCCCCGTATCCTCCACGATCCATTCTGCAGAGCCCCTTCTTAAGGCTGCCTGGGGAGGAGGGAGAAAAATCCGAGCTTCCTTTGCACACACTTAATATCGGGTCGCTCAATCCTTCCCACTTTACTGCAAGAATCATTAGACTCAGGCGTCCAGGTCATTAGCTGACTTTGAACTAGAACTAAACCTGCCAGGCGCCTGCTGCGGAGGTTTGAAATGGCTCTGCTGGGTATGCGTGGGGGAGAGGCGGTTCTGGGGGACTCTGTGTGTCTGTGGGGAGGAGCTACTCATTCTGTGGATCTGAACCAGGAGAGAGGGTGGCTTAGATTCCCGAGACCCCTGGCGGGGAGAGGACGTGGCTTTGTGGACGCGGTCTCAGGACACGGGGCTTAGGGACCTGTTAGAGGCTGGTTTCTCTGCTGTAGGATGTTGCGGGTGCCTGAGGGAGGCTAGGGGTGACCAGTGCTGGAAGCCCAGGTTGGGGGCTTCCTGAGTGTGTGAGAACCTCTTTCCTTCTGGGGCACCAGCTGGGACCGCAGCCAGAAGCGGCGCAGGCCCTCTGGGCAGCAAGGTGCCCTGAGGCAGGAGGAGAGCCAGCAGCCCTTGACAGACCTGTCCCCAGCCGGGGTCACTGTGCTGGGGGCCTTCGGGGACTCGCCCACCCCCACCCCTGACCACGAGGAGCCCCGAGGGGGACCCCGGCCTGGGATGCCCCAGCCCAAGGGGGCTCCAGCCTTCCAGCTGAACCGGTGAGGGCAGGGCAGAGGGCTGGGAGGGCGGGCAGGGGAGGCACCTCGGGGCTGCGATTGTGGGATTGGGGCTCCCCCTCCCGGGTGGGTGGAAAGGAGGCAGACCTGCCCCCCCCCCCCCCCCGGGAGACTGTGTAGCCTGCCACTGCCAGGGTCCCATGATCCAGGGACAATTTCCCTGGGAGAACACACAGCAGGCCTCAGGCTGTTGCAATGTCATGCCAGCTTCTGCCACCACAGGCTCACCCCGCATTCCATACCCCTCCCTCTACCCAGCCTGAGTGAGCTGTAGACCCCTAATCAGCTGCTGCCCCCCCCCCCCCCCACCCCGGGAGACTGGACCCCTCCTCGCCAGGGCACCCTTCCATCTCCCGCTGTCTGTGGATCTGCGTCCTGTTCTCATGCTGCCATTTAACTCCCAACTCTGCCCTCCTAACCTTGATCCCTTTTATTTCTTGGACTGCCCTCTCGATTCTGGCCTGCCTCTTGGTTCCTGACGGTGCCCTTTCCCTTTTCCTCTCAGGATTCCCTTGGTGAATCTGTGATCCCCCCCAAGCCTGGGCTGCCACCAAGCAGGGGGCCAAGGGGCCGGCACAGCCCCCATCCCGCTGAGGGCAGGGCGGCCGTGGGCGCCTCGGAACACTCGCTAGCCCGCGGGTGAGCGCACCTGCTCAGCCTCCTTTAGGTGGGGGCCTCACATATCTGTGGCTTTTCGCCCCCGGCCCCGCCCTGGCACACTCACATGAGAGCCTTGCACACTCACCTCTCCCCTCACGAGCCACTGCACATACTCATGCTCTTGTACGGCCAGTCTCCCTAGCCACGTCTCTCCCCTCCGCGGATCCCTCACGTCCTCCCTTTCGTCTCACACTGTTCCCTTTGTCTTCTCCCCCGTCCCACCCATCGCTCAGTGGCCCATCACTCAGAGGTCAGTGGGTGACTCCCGTGGACTCTCGTGTGCATGTCCTGGCCCCGCGCTGCGGCGTTGTGTGTCACGCTCACACTCTCGCCTCATGAACACCCACTGATTGAGTTTCTGTGGCCCCTGCATGCTGCCCCGGAGGTGGGTGGGAGGTGAGCTGGGGGCTCCATGGGCCTCCATCTGTCGCGGTCCCATCCCGCTCCACGTCACGTGTTTCGCTGTCTCCCCCATCCCGCTCCGAGGGCTCGAGCACTCGTTACCCTGAGGGCTCCCTGTGGGAATGGGAGGACTGAGGGCGCAAACTCCTACCCGATCCACTGCTAAATTCTGTTGTCTGGGAGATGGCTTTTGGGGAGTCACCTGCTGCACTACATGAGAAAGGGGCTCCCATTTGCCCTCCCCTGCTTCCTAAGTCCGTCTGTCCTGGCTGTCTGTGTGTGTCACTCTGGAATTCAGAGCCCCCTGAGCCAGTCCTCCACTTGCCGGCCTCCCTGAGGGCCTCCATTAACTCCACCTAGGCTGCCAGGGACCAGAGCCAGCTGGTTCAAGGCCATCGGGAGCTCTGCCTCCCAATCCGCCCCTCCCTCCCTCCCTCCTTGGTTCCTCCACTCTCCCTCCTTTTGCACCGCCCCCCCCTCAGGTTTTTCCTGACTTCTCATGGCTTTCCCACCTTCCTTCCTACTTCCCTGTCTTACCTGGCTCCTATGCTGTGATATATATTTTTGTATTATCTCTTTCTTCTTGTGGTGATAATCTTGAATTCTTGTGGGATGTAAGTTTCAAATTTTTCAAATAAAGCCTTTGCAAGATACCTGAGTCCCCTGGTTCTGCCTTATGAGCCCCACAGAGAGGAGAGGAGGAGGGGCGATGGGCAGCTAAAAGGGAAGGAAAGAAGGATGGGGGTGGTGGTGCGGGTAACCCCTCCGGACCCGATGTGACCTGGCCTGCTCTGACCCGGGGTCGGGATTCGGGGCCTTTGACTCGGGATGGAATGGAAGGAAGAGACACTGAAGGGGGCAGTCTTGACAAGGAGCAGCCGCAGCAAGAGAGAAACCGGAAGAGTGGCTTGTTAATTGCTAGACAAGGTCAAGAGAGACCACGAGAAAGGAGGTAGAAGAAAAGGGAAACTTACGTAGACGCACAGGCGATGGCGCAACAGCAAGAAAAGGAAGAGGGGGGCGCTGATACACACATGGAGGTCGAAGGGCAAAAGGAGAAGAAATCATGGAGCAACGGGCAAGCGATGAGAGGGAGCCGCAGTAAAGAGGCTGGCTGCCCCGCTTGCTTTATTTGCAGCCTTGCTCCCTCACCCGCCCCCGCCCACAGCTGCCCCCAGAAGCCCCGCGGTTAGTTCTCATTAGCTTTCCCCGCTCTGCCCTCTCTGAGAGGCACTGCTGGGGTGTGGGCGTGGAATCGAGGGGTACGTTTGGAGGAGGGAATGCAGGCTGCCCAGCTGGGATCAGTCACCTCTGAGCCCCCAGTTCTAGGTCTGGCTCTCATAACAGCCCTGCAGAAACCCACACGGCAGCCTCTCAGCTGTTGCTAGGTTCTGTTGCCATGGTAACCACCCAGGTCCCATTTCTCCCCCAACCCCCATCTGTGCCCCACTTGCTCCCGGGAAATGGGGGTGCTCCAGGGAGAAGAGGAGACGGTCACATGCAAGAGGGGGGCTGCCCTGGCCTGTGTTGGCCTCCATGTGTTTATTTTTGCAGTTAGAATCAGGAATGTCTATGTATCTGTAGGTGGGTGCTTTAGGGGTTGGGGCGCTTTACTGTGTACTCAAGTGAAGTGTGGCTGAGTCCACGAAGCACACAACAGTGAGCGAGGTGGAGGGAGTGTATTTCTCAGGATCAGAGCAGTTTGTGGGTTCGGGTCATCAGACTCCCTAAGAAAGAGAAGAAAGAAGCAGATCCGGGCCAAGGAGTGATGAACCAGCTAAAAGCAGAGGTGTGAGGCAAACATGCTGCTGAGGCAGGCTCAGAGTCAACCCAGTGGGACCTGAAGAGACCCCAGCCTGAAGCTGGTGGAAGGGAGAGGACTGGATGAGACCTGAGGGTGCAGGAAGAGGTGCTGCTGGGATGGGCTGGAGGCAGTGAGGGAGGACCTCAGGGGGAGGGGGAGGGGGAGGGGGAGGGGGAGGAGATGGCCGGGAGAGGAAGCCTCATTACCCTTTCCCTTCCTTCCCCACAGGAATCTAGTCCTTGTCAGGTGGAGGTTGGGGGGAAGAGGAGGCGCAGAAGGGGAAGAGCTGAAGTGCCTGGACAGCACATCTCTCTTATCACCTTCCTCTTCAGAGGGACAGTGTGACCCCAAGGCTCATCCATATGCAGAAGGCACACATGAAGGTCCTTAATGAAGAGGGAATTAATTATCACCTAATTAGACTGCTGTTCCTCTAAATTTAAATAAATTAAAATATACCAGCAAGACACAGGAAATTCTTACCTGTTCCTTCTCCCTAAATGCCCTCCTTCCCCATGGAAAGTCAGATTGGCAGGGAGAGACAGAGGAGAAAGTTGTCCGAGTCTTCTGAGTTGTCCTAAAGGAATGATCCCAAACTAAATCCCATTGTTATGCTAACCAGGAAGAGTCAGGAGGCCCTGGGGAAGGATCCTAACTTTATCTCACGTAGTGTTGAAACTGAAACTATGGGGCCTCGGGAGGTCCTCAGAAGGCTCCAAATGGCAAAGCAATCACTGCTTAGTCACAGACCAAGAACACAAACAGTGGCCATACTACCCCTTTGCTTCTTGGAGGCCACCCATCACTACTGGGACCAGCGTCTCTCATCTGTATGCTTTCTTTGCCTCCTGAGTTGTGCATCAAATGACTAAGCCAGGCTTCTCTTAAGCATTTTTCTGAAATGCTTACCATTGTGGCTCAGACCAAACCAGGGAGTGGGGAAGCCCCCAGGAGGAGGGATCTCCCAGGCAGAGCTCAGGGTGTGGAAGTGATTCAAGATGGAAACAGTGTGCCAGCTGGAAAACCCCAGGCTAAAATTAACAGCCCTCCTCCCCCTACGCCCCACATTTATCTCTCTAAAGCTTTTCTCTAAGGAGTTCAAAGCACTAAAACTTGCTTCTTATAGCAAGGGCAGCAGCAGGGTTGACAAGTGGAGACACCGAGGCCCCGGGGGGTGCCAGTTATTGTAAATAGGAGAACAGAAAGAGAACCAGAACTTATAGCGATTACCACCATTTTGCTCCCACTTTTCTATCTCTGCCCCCAAAGTCAAGGTTTCTCATATCATCGATCTCTAACCCATGCAGCAACTACGTCTGGTCACATCTGCGCCCTTAAGACCCTTATCCTATTGTGTCACTATTGGGTTGACACAGACAGGTTACAGAGTCCCAAAATGTGATAAAGAGAGCAGACGCTTTTAAAAAGATACAAATACGTATCTTCTGTTCAAACATTTAATTGGAATTTTTATTTTTAGGTGTCTTTTGCTACTTCCTGGGGAAGCTGTGACCTTGGGAAAAATCACTTAATTTCAGAGTCTTATGTTCATTATATGTAAAATTTGGCATTACAGTTATTCCTATCCGGGTTATTTTGATCTCTAAGCAAGGAACTATTACTGTTAATAGGAGGCACTTTGATTCTGTTTCACTCAAAATAGAGCTGAGCCCAGAGGGATTCTGGTCAGATCTGGGACAGGCTGGTGGCAGGATTCATTTACTCAAATAGCATGTATTTATTTAGCATCTACTGTGTGCTCAACAAAGCAGTGGGAGGGTACCATGTATGAGTTTCTCCCGAGTTGCTGACAAACTTGCTGAAGAGTCACATATATGAAATAGTTAAAATAGCCAAAAAAAAAAAAAAAAAAAGGTACGGACTAAATGCTGTGGAAGTTCGGAGAACGAGACCATTGGAGCAATCAAGGAAGGCTTCCTGAAAGAGTTCACATTAATTGTTCATTGATGCAACAAACGTTTACCAACTGCTTACTAAGTGCCAGGCTCTGAGGATACAGCAGCGAACAATTCAGAGTCCTTGCCCTCGTGGGGCCGATATTCCAGTGAGAAGAGGAGGACATCCAACAATATAGAATCAGGTAGAGGTGAGTGCTATATTTAAAAGTAAAGCCGGGTGAGTAGGAGATAAAGATGTGGAAGAGGGCCACAAGAACTTAGAGACCAAAGCAAAGAGAGTAAGGGGTGTGGTTAGGCAGGGGTCAGATTCTGAGGCCTGGGAGGGGTTATTAGTCACGCTTTGGGCCTAAGGAGGGACCTCAGAAAACTACTGACACATCCTTTTCCTTTCTTTCATATTCAAAACATTGAGACATTTTTGAGAGTATGTAAGAAAAAAGAACAGTAACTCCCTACGTCTGCCTATCGCCCCGGGAGGGAAGGGAACCAGGACCCGTCTTTTAAGAATCCATACCGCCCCTCGTACCTTGATGCATAATTCATGAACCTGTGGCGTTTCCACCCTCCCACTTCCCCTGAAGTTCCTTCCGGAAGCCCGGAACCGCAGTCGTGAAGGTTCGGCTCCTGCCCTTAGCAGAACCCACCTTCACTTCCGCTGTGGCGTCACATCCCTGGAGGGTCTACCGCGTCCCCGGGCAGAAGCTACTTCCGCCCCTACTTGTCGTAACTTCCGCCCTGAGTATGCTGGAGCGCTAACCGCGCCGGATGTGCTCTAGCTGCTCCCGGAAGTGACTCGACCTTTGCATTTTCACCCCCCCTTTCCCCATTGCCGCCCCCCCAACATTGCTATTTCCCTCCCTCCCCCCTTTTCGTTTCCGGCGCTCCCGCCTTCTCTCAGCCGCGGCTCAACTCCGAGCCAGTGGGGGGAGGGAGGGAGGGAGGGGGCGTGGAGGAATCGGGGTTCTCGGGAGCACGAGCTGCGGCACCACTTCCGGGTGAGTGTTAGGGGAGGGAGGGGGCCACCCACTGCCTAGCGCCCCCGCCCTGCGGGTGTCTCGCGCACGATCCGTGCGTGTGAGTGTGTGGGTCTGCCTCGCGCCTAAAGTGCGTGCCCGCGCGCTCGCCTGGCGCTATCCCCCTCCCCTCGCCCCCTCCGAGTCCTCCCACCGCACTCTGCTCCCTCCTTCCCAGCAAACGCCGCCCCTCCCGCTCTCTGGCTCCGGCTCTGGCGCCGCCGCAGCCGTTGCCGCCGGGTGAGTCTCGCGCCGCTGCAGCCGGCGCGCGCCGAGCTCTCTGCTCCTTCCCCCTCCCCTTTTCCTTGGGGGGGGGCGGGGAAGGGGGGGTCCACGATGGGACTGTACGTGTGTCCGTCCCGGAACCGGAAGTGGTTGTGGAGGAGCGGGCGATGGGGAGGAATGGGGGGGTTTAGGGGGCGGGTGTCTGTCTGGTGGGTGGCAGAGTTCAGCTCCCTGGAGAGGAAAGAGGGGCGTCCCAAAGAAGGGTCTTAGAGGAAGGGGTGGTGGGCGACCTCAGGAGAAGGCGCCCAGGGGCTGTCTCAGGGCAGCGAAGGTGTTTGGGGGACAGCCGGGGTCTCTAGTAGCTAGACCACTGTGCAGGCTGAGGGAGGTACTTCTTGGCGCAGGGCCTTGGGTAGGCAAGGGCGAAGTCCTCGCGGC